TGTTCTACAGGAGGTGAGGCTAGATGATCACAGTGGTCCCTTCTAGCCTTGGAGTCTCTGAAAATGAGACTGAACTAATGTTACTGCACCAATCTAGAGCATTTCTCAATGACCAGTCTGTGGGCCAGTGGTGGTCCCTGAGATCTCCCTGACATAGTTTAGGAAGGCAGCAAGCTGATCCCTGGTATCAAGAAGGTTGAAAAAAAACTGCTTTAGAGCATACAGCAGCCAAATGGGTGTACAACAACTGATGGCCACCTTGGATCCTCAGGCCAACTGAGAAAATCGAGTTAATATCTAAATCTGACCGCAGCTAAAAACCAGGAAATAACATGGGATATCTTTATCCTGGTGGGAAGTGGCTTTATTTGTAGTGAATGGTGAAACATCTAATAATTTTTTACTGTATTGAAATTTATCTAATTTTTTCTAAACATGAGTAATGCTCTGTGGAAGTCTTGTTGATGTTAGGGGAAGCTGTGGTAAAGTCACATCTGCTTTTTAGGTAGCTGAGATACTCTAAATCAGAAGATCTAGGGTGGTTGTGACACAAGATTCATCAATGAAACCTATTTTGCAAAACAAAAATAATGAGAAACTAACCACCCACTATGGATACTGAGCTGGATCTTTAGCCTAATTTTCACTGATAAGCTGGACAGGTGTTGTGTAACTAGTAGGGAAGGATGGCACCTGCATGTTGTTGAAGGCACAGCAGGTAATGGTGTGATCAGGAAATTCCTGATCTCTTCAATGTTCTACATATAGGATGCAATTCGTGCTCCTTTACCCACTGGTTGCTAAAATGGGTTTCTAATCTTAATATATATTAACTGAAAAAAACCCCAAACCTTCTCCAGTAATGATCCCAACCCCTCCCATAACACCAATCTGTTGTGTTTAGGGCCTCTAGTATATTTATAAGGGGACAACAGATAAAACAATGTACATAAGGCACTAATTTCGGAGTACTCTTTAAAAACCACATGCTGAAAGAATGTAAGACTGATTTGCATTTTATCTGTCCAATGCCTTTAAGAGGAAAAGTTGTAATAGGGAGGCTAATGAAGACAAATGTGAGTCAAGGAAAATTCTTTCACCACAGGCCCAAGATAAAATTGGGCAGTAGAATGAACCTCTCAATAACTGGGGAGATCCTGTATCTGCCAAATTAATGTAACGAAATAAACGGGACAGGAGGCAAGGGAGTAAACACAGCCGGGCGGTTTCTAATTGTCACCACTATAAATCCAAAATAAATGAGATGGTGGGGCTGAAGCCTGGGATTGTGCAATGTAAGGAGCTTTCTCAAAATTATTTCACTTCTTTCAGTGAAAATCACAGCTTCCATTCAAATAGAAATGTTATTTCCAGCCACTCCTGTTGCAGAGATTCCTTCAGCCCTGTCCCTTGCCTTAGAAAGTTATCACTAAACAAAGAACAGCAGTAAGACTTTCCTTTGTTAACGCTGCTTAAACTCTCTTCCTCCCTCCCTCCCCAGCCATCCCTTAGTTAGGGGTCAGGTTGTTGCATGATGAATCATGGGCTTGTCTACACTTGAAATGCTACATGGGCACAGCTGCAATCTGCACCACTGTAGTGCTTCAGTGTGGCCTATATGTACGCCAACAGCAGGAGTTCGTCTGTTGGGGTAGGCGATCCACTCCTCGAGAGTGATGGAAGAACTCTATTGCCTAAACTCTGTCTACACTGGGGTTTAGGTCGGCTTTACTTCGCTCAGGTGTGTGGATTTTTTATACCCCCTGAATGACATAGCAGGGTTGACCTAACTTTTTAGTGTAGACCAGGCCATGGTGTTTGTGACGTTCTGCTAGAGACACGGCACTTTCTCTCTGCCTTTTGCATTTAACCTTTCTCTGCCTCTGTGCATCAGGGACTTTTTTCTCCACAGCAAGACATCTGGCTTTCAGAGATCTTACCTGCCCACCTATCCTTGATGTTTCTTTCTAGTTCCTGTACTCTTTTCTGTAGCGGTATCAATGTGGGGCCTCAACTGCTGTCTAGGACATGGGGACATGGGTATAGCAGAGTTAGCTATCTGTTAGCATGGGGTGCTGTGGGAGGACAATAGGAAGTTTTCAGAGCTCATTACTATACACAGTCTCTTAGCCAATGTAACTAGACTTTCAAGTTCACTCTCTTCCAGCCTGTTTTTTCCCTGTCTTCTTACCTTTACTCACTTCTGACCTGTCGTCTTGGATATGTGTGACAGTGATGCCCAAAACCCATCTTTCTTATCCAGAGTCCAGCAAGGAGATGGGGGACCTGCTACCCCCATGATGCAGCTGCCTTAAAGGAAGGCGGGTAGAGTACGGCAGAGAGGGAAGCAGGACTGGGTTGGGGAGGAGGGAGTATGCCTGTTGCCATCTGACAGATGGAGCAGGCTTGTGCACACCCTGGGCTGGGAGTTACCTCAAAGCCAGTAGATGGAGTTGGACACTAGTGTTCCAGGGACCGAGGGAGGTGGTCTGAGGAGGGCATAGCCGAGAGAAGTGAAGCAGGTTAGGGTAGCATATATCCCACCAGTGAAGTTTATGGTTTCCCACAAGGTCCATCTATGAGGTAGTACAAGGCGGGAGTGTCCCGAGGCCTAAGCAGCTAGTGAGGAGTCTCAAGGGGAAAGGTCTTGCCTCCTGCTTGATCAGAGTCAGACCGTGAGACGGTAGTTTTCTTGAAATATGAACTGATAGTTTGTGTGCACGGGTGGGTGGGTGGAATCTCCTACAGCAGGGGTTCTCAACCTTTTCCTTTCTGAACCCCACCCCCACTACAAAAACGCTATGCTCCAAAACTGCTCCTTTTCTGCATATAAAGCCCAGGGCTGGTGTTAGGGGGTAGCAAGCAGGGCAATTACCCCTGCAATTGCCCCACTGTCCCAGGGGGTTCCACAAAGCGAAGTTGCTCAGGCTTTGGCTTCAGCCGTGGGTGGCAGGGCTCGGGCCTTCAGCTTTCTGCCCTAGGCCCCAGGGAGTCTAACACTGGCTCGGCTTGATGAACCCCCTGAAACCTGCTCGTGGCCCCCCAGGGGACCCTGAACACCTGATAGAGAAGTGCTGTCCTAGGGCTGCTGCAGAACACCTTCCCAGAGGATTACTGTGCCCTGTGTTCCCTTAACAGGGAACCTTGATGAAAGGAAGAACAGGAAGTTCCACGAGCAAGGGGATCCTTTAGTCCCATTGCTCCCCCATCCTGCCCCTCCCCTCGAGTGCACCATCAGACAGGAAGCCTGTGCAATGCTGCGCCCTGTGCCAGGCATGGGAATGAGCACTGCTGCCTGGTCTCTGCATATTTATGTAGCAGAATGGCATCAGTTCGGTTGACAGGATGCTTCTGTTTGGAGGTCACCAGATTTACCCTCAGGAGAGCTGGCTTCTCCCTAGAGTGGCATCCAGGCAAGTACCTGGTACATTTTTCCCTTCCTCAAATTAACTTGTGTCCACTGAAGCATGTGCTGGGTTAGAGCTTCTGTGCTTTGCCTCCCAATGGCCGGACAGGCTGAAGGAAGCTGCTTCCATCTCGCTCACCAGAGGCATCTCCTGCTTCCCACCTAAGCACTTTCTGTCCCAGCCTCTGCCAAGATCCAGTGCCTCTCTGCCAGCAGCTCCGAGCTCCAGCCTCCTCCTCCAAGGTGCTTCACAGACACGGATGAGTTCAGCCCCTGGCCATGGGCGTCAGCATCACTTTGTAAACAGGGACCCGGGGATGGGGGCAGAGAGGTGAGTTAGAGGCAGAGTGAGGAAAGAAGCCAGGAGTCCTGCACCCCACCCCCAGGCCTCACTCCCCTGGGGGGAAAGAACCCAGGAGTCCTGCCCCCCACCCCCCGGCCTCGCTCCCCTGGGGGGGAAAGAACCCAGGAGCCCTGTCCCCCACCCCCAGGCCTCGCTCCCCTGGGGGGGAAAGAACTCAGGAGCCCTGCCCCCCACCCCCAGGCCTCGCTCCCCTGGGGGGAAAGAACTCAGGGCCCTGCCCCCACCCCCAGGCCTCGCTCCCCTGGCAGGGAAAGAACCCAGGAGTCCTGGCCCCCACCCCCCGGCCTCGCTCCCCTGGGGGGAAAGAACCCAGGAGTCCTGTCCCCCACCCCCGCCTCGCTCCCCTGGGGGAAAGAACCCAGGAGTCTGTCCCCCACCCCCGGCCTGCTCCCCTGGGGGGGGACCCAGAGTCTGGCCCCCACCTCCAGGCCTCACTCCCCTGCTGGGAAAGAACCAGGAGTCCTGCCCCCCACCCCCAGGCCTCACTCCCCTGGCTGGGAAAGAACCCAGGAGTCCTGCCCCCCACCCCCAGGCCTCGCTCCCCTGGGGGGGAAAGAACTCAGGAGCCCTGCCCCCCACCCCCAGGCCTCGCTCCCCTGGGGGGAAAGAACCCAGGAGTCCTGGCCCCCACCCCCCGGCCTTGCTCCCCTGGGGGGGAAAGAACCCAGGAGTCCTGGCCCTCACCTCCCTCCACCCCTTGGAAAGAACCCAGGGTCTCCCCCCACCCCCAGGCCTCGCTCCCCTGGCGGGGAAAGAACCCAGGAGTCCTGCCCCCCCACCCCCAGGCCTCGCTCCCCTGGGGGGGAAAGAACCCAGGAGTCCTGGCCCCCACCCCCCCCCGCTCTCCTGGCGGAAAGAAACCAGGGTCCTCCCCCACCCCCCCTCCGGGAAAACCCAGGAGTCCTGGCCCCCACCTCCGCTCTCGGCCCAGGGTCACTCACAGGCCGACGGGGAGACCCCGGCGGTGACGGGCAGGGGCGGGGCCGATCCCCGGGGCGGGGCGAGCGGCTCCTAGGCCCCGCCCCTGCCCATGCCGCGCGCGGGGGGCGGGGGCGCGGCGCTGGGCGGGAAAGTCGCGGCGGCTGAGGCGCGGGGCCGGCAGCAGGTGAGCGGCTCGGGCCGGGTCGCGTCACGCCCCCCCCCCGCCCGGCCCGCTGCCGAGCCCTGGGCCTGGCCGGCTCCCCCGCGCCCAGCCCGGCCGCTGACCCCGCTCTCTCCCGGCTGCAGGGCCCGCGGACCGCCATGGCCGTGCCCTTCGTGGAGGACTGGGACCTGGTGCAGACCCTGGGCGAGGGCGCCTACGGAGAGTGAGTACGGCGGGGCTCGGGCGCCCTGCCGCGAGCCTGGGCTCGCCCCCGGCGGGCGGAGGCCGAGGGGCCCCGCCGGGGCGTGGCCGGCCCTGCTCCGCCGCCGCTCGGCAGCCTGCCTGGCCGGAAAAGCTGCCCCGGAGCGGGGCGCGCCCCGGCAGCAGTGGGTCCAATAAAAGACATCGCGTCGCCCCATGGCCCCCATTGCCTGACCCCCCCCCACCTCACCCCATCGCCCCATGACCCCATCGCCCCCATCGCCTGCCACCCCATCACCTGCCCCCCCCCCCATTGCCTCCCCCGCCCCCCCCCCTCTCCCCCTCGCCCAACCCCCATCACCCCCCATCGCCCCCCCCTCCCCCCCCCCTCACCCCCATCGCCCGACCCTCCCCCTCGCCCAACCCCCCCCATCATCCCCCTCGCCCGACCCCCATCGCCCGACCCCCATCGCCTCGCCCCATTGCCCTCATTGCCTCGCCCCCCTCACCCCCATCACCCTCGCCCGACCCCCCCATCGCCTGGCCCTCGTCGCCCCCACCCCATCGTCTCACCCCATCACCCACATCGCCTCACCCTTGCCACTCCCATATGTACATCTGAAGAGGGGGGTATAGTTGCCCCCTCCACCCCTGTGTTAGCCCCAGGGCCACTTCTGACCGATAAGGGCCTGCAAGGCTGCGGAAGGCAGACGCTTGCTGAAGCCGGTGTTGCTGGCACAGCGGTGCCAGGTTTCAGCCGAAGTGAGAGTTGACATTTTTATCTGACGTTAACTTGATGTCCAGATGTAACATATAACTGTCAGAAGGGAAAAAATGACTGAGCTGCAAGGGTTGTGCAGACCTTTATAGGTAGCATCTGCCAGAAATTACAACCAGTCTTCAGGACTTTTCCGAGTAATGTCCAGGGTCCTGCCCCTGATCGGAGTCTTGGAGGTAGAACTGACTTTCCAAACTATTTTGCTGTCAACAGTGGTAACCCACAGTTGTCTTTCACGTCAGGTCCATCACATCATGTCAACTTGTGCTTCCCTGTACAGAGAGGTGCTTTAACCAAAGGACTGGGAGCCCCTTTCTAGCTCTGGGCAAGTCACTTAATCTGCCTTTTTTTTGGTTGTGAAGTGCTTTGACTGTTTAATATTGTAGCAGTTTGGTGGTGGTGTTACTCTGTTAGGACATGTTCTGGTGGTAAGGATACATTCTCCTTCGACTTAACTCCCAAGACATCTTGAGACACACTGTATTATATTCTGATATTACCATTATATTCTGTGTATGTACGGTATGTTGTATCCACCATGTACTGTGGCATACAATACGTTTATGATGCAACCTGAGTTAATTAATGTCACTACGAATCTTGTTTTCTCTTGCTTTTATATAAGTCATAATTAGGGATATGCTGCAACTTCTTAAACAAATGTCAGAATTAATGTAAATATTATGACTTTTGTGATCATTGACAATTTCAAAACTAGCTTTATGTGGATATTTTTAAAGCTCAGGCATGACACTTGCGTGAAACTCATAGATGTAAGTGCATGCAACTCTATTGAACTCCATATAGCTGCATCCATTTATACCAGAGCTGGAATTTCCTCCATATAATTTATGGAGACCACAAATTTCAAATGCTTATCAGAATTTTTACAACTTGAACAGCTGTAAGCCTTTTATGTGTCCAGGCATGTAATTAGTTGTTTTGGAACATGGACATGTGGGTCTGTTGAGCCTGGTTTTTGGCACTTTTCATCTGTCAGGCTATTTTTAAACAACATATCGAGATGGGGGTATGTAAATTCAGACTGGGGGTAGACCTCACGCTAACACCTGATCGATAGAGCTGCCCACGCTCCCTATGCTTTGACAGGGAGTAGGGTGAAACTCTTATGTAAATAAAGGATGGGGCATCCTAAGCTTCAGGCTAGACCACTACATATCTATATTGGAGATTTCTCTCTTGCACCCATCACCATAGTGTCTCAAGCCCTGGTCCTTAAAGATGTTAGGTGCCTAACTCCCATTGATTTAAGTGGGAATTGGGTGCCTAACTTCCATTGAGTATATGGATCATAGTGTTAAACATGCGAACTAGCTGTGCATTCCAAGGTTCATAGTGCACTACCTGCTTCATCCCTTGTTACCTTGCTTTTCCCCTTCTTCTCTTCAGAGTTCAGCTTGCTGTGAACAGACGCACAGAAGAAGCTGTTGCAGTAAAAATAGTTGACATGAAACGTGCTGTGGACTGTCCAGAGAACATAAAAAAAGAGATCTGCATTAATAAGATGTTAAATCATGAGAACATTGTGAAGTTCTATGGACATCGTAGAGAAGGCAGTATTCAGTACCTCTTCCTCGAGTACTGCAGCGGGGGAGAGCTCTTTGACCGAATAGGTACAGAATTCTTGGGGCAAGGGAGGGTCTGAGGGCAACTCCAGTGGTGGTTGCACAGACTCATTAGAACACCATAGTTGTCTTATAAGACCAGAGGGATTCCTTACTCTACTCTTCCAGTGCCACTGATCTTAGAGGGAAAGTGTCTAGGAGAGGCTGGCTTTGCGGGTGGCTGTCCTTCTGCACATTGTGAGTCAGTGATTAAGCCATGGCTAGAAGTAGAGTTCCCACGTTTCAAACCTTTGCTTAGCTCACTATACCACCTTGCTTCACTTTGCATGGTCCTAACAATTCAGAAATTCTACATATTTAATGCTATAGGTTAAAAAAAAGTTAGGGAGAGCAAACATGATAAATGGGCTGGAAAATTTAATGCGTACAGACTTGCATTCCAGTGGTTACCAGATTGAAAATAAATATGTAATATATTCCCCTTCCAGTGTACAGTTCTATTTAGTGCTAATGGGAGATGCATGCACCCTGAGAAGGTAGCCATTGAAATCTGCAGGAGTTTCTGCTCATGACTGTCTTTATGCTCACTATTGATAGCGTAATCCTGGTAGAACTTCTGTTACAAGACTATTGACAGCCATCGTTTTTCACAAGTAAGGATAATTTAATTTAAACAAATAAAATAACTTGCTGTGAGGAGTTTGAGAAATCCAAGGAAGGAAGTTTTCCCAGGCCAATGCTTTCAATTTCTGCGGACTCTAAGCTTTCATTTAAAAAAATAAATAAATAAAAATCTAACTCTCATGGCTACAAAACTCATTTTCTGAACATGAGCCTTGGGGACTGAGGCAGTGGTATTTTTCAAAGTCTGTAGCCAGAGCACTGCTGCCTCTGCTGCTGTTTGCAGGTTTATCAAGCTGAAGCAGAGTAAAAACTGACTAGTTTTGTCAGTTTTAACTGCTGCTATTCAGACCCTAGGGTGCAGCTGTGAAGCTGAAAAGAAAGGTCAGTTTCACTCTGCTGCTGGTTGGGAAAACTCTGAGCAGTATGTAGGTAACAAATATTGGTATTGCTAAGGAGAACACAAAAGCATCATAAACATGAGAAGTGTTGGCGGCCACTCCTCATGTCAGCAAGGAAGTTGGGGAAGTGGAAGTGTGCCAATGGGGGCTGGTTTCTCACTTGTGTGCCCTTGCACACTGGGATCCTCCAGCTTTCTTATACGGCTGTGGCTAGAAGACTTGATTCTGTGGCACTTAGATGAAACTTACCCTGAGGACAATGTAAGAAGAGATGTCTTATAGGAAAAGAGAGAAAATGGAATGAAGTCAGGAATTAAAGAAGGTGTAATAAATGCAAAAGATCTAGGGAGTTACTTTATTTTAAAAAGCTATTAAATATCATAGTACACAACTGTTTTATTCCTTAAAATGGCCAGGGAAGTGGCAGCACAGCTATTGTTCACCGTGGCTGGTAGGCTTAGACCTTGGGCTAGCGTGTGTTGGGCAAACTTTACAAGCCCTGGTCTGGTGTTCAGGCTCTTTCATCTTGCCAAAGTCCTCCAGAAAAAATGAGGATAGTCAGACCAGGATATTTCTAATATAGATAACACTTTTTAAAAGAGAGTATTTTGATGTAATCTTTATAATCATAACGGAGCAGTGAAAAGCACAAAATCCTTAAAATTTTTTCTTTGCATTCGATTTTGTAAAAATCGCTTGCCTACAAGTCATGTGACACAGTTTTTATTGCAAAAGATAATAAATCTTTTAACCAATGTCTTCTGGATTTAATGTAATTGGGAAGATGTTATATTTCAGAATCATTTAACTTCAGAGATTATGTGCTGTTTTAAGTGTGATTTAGAGAATGTTTATCTTGTAAATCACTAACCAAGTAGAGAAGAAAAGCTGGAGTATTGGAGACTCAAATTGCACAGATCAAATAGATTAATCTGTGCAACAAAAAATCCTTTTGAAGCTTTTTTAAAACAAAATGTTTGGGCCATAAGTAGATATCTGTCTCTTGGAAGTTTTAATCAGTATTTCCAACCACAAAAGCAATTTGGTACGTAAGATATATCTTCCATTTTTCTTTAATCTGTTTTTTTTTCTACCATTGGAATGTGAAACTGCTTCTGAAGTAGAGCTGTGCAAGGAACGTTCTGATACAAGTTTTAACAGTACATATTGTGCAGTAGTAACGATCTGCAATAATATACAGGAATTTTCAGTTTTTATGTAGAGAAGCCTTTCTTCTAACATCATAAACTCCTGGTTCTTTTTTTCAGTGTGCATCTTAATATTAAACTAGCCTCATTTTATTAGCTTTTTAAGTGGAGAAGCGGTTGGCATTACTGAAGAGGACTGGAGTAGAGCCCTGTTGGAACTATTCTTAACTTCGCTCCCAACCACTCTCGCTATTATGGCAGCGGGTCTTGTGGGACCTGCGGGATCCTGGTCCCGCTGCAGGGCTTTACACTAGTCCCACCCAGGGCTCTAGACTGGAGTTTTGAGGCAACGAATTTGCCCCTAGAAAGTGGAAAATAGACTACAGTGGGACTATATATGGGCACAAGGGGTCTGTTGGTGTAGAGCAGCTTGCAGGATCTGGGCCCTAGTGTTTTGATGGTATAAGATTTAAAGAGAACCTTTAGCATTTTCCCCCATGGTGCTTTGGGAAGATACAAAAAAAGTAGCATCTCAGTTTCTATTAAATAGATGCAGACTCTGCAGTGTAACTCAATAACCTTTCATGACACATTTGCATTGCCTGTAGTTACTGTTTCAAGGCAGGTGAAAAATAAGTGTTGTGCAGGGTATCCAGGAAACTTTGTAAAATAGTTACAAAAACATAGTGTAGAGTCTCCGTTCCATAGTTTGTTTATGATGGAAGAAAAGTATTTTGGTATGTAGATTCTGAATTACTTTTTACAGAGCCTGATATAGGAATGCCTGAACCAGATGCACAGAAGTTTTTCCATCAGCTTATGGCTGGCGTGGTACGTGTTGTACTTTATGCATTTATTTCAAGCTCCTTTTTTCCAGTTAAATTAAACAGAACATGGTATTAAAGCCTTTTATTTATTTGTTCAGGTATATCTTCACAGTATAGGAATAACTCACAGGGATATTAAGCCTGAGAATCTACTACTAGATGAAAGAGGTAAGTATAAAAACTTTTGACTTCATATTCTCTTAAATTCTTGGTCATCGAGAATATAGGGGAGAAAAGAAACACTATCACTCAATGAGTCTGAAAATACTCCTAGAGCTTCTGTGGCATCCTGCTACATTAAGAATAACCAAATGCAGTAAGCAGATTTGTGCTGTCAGGGCTTGTATTCATTCCCTTATCCTGTGTAAATAGACTAATCAGTGTATTCTAGAGCAAGTTATTCTGGGTCTCTGCACAGTGGCCTTTAAAGGAACACACTTGAATAAAGCTTAAGTTTTGTTAAACCTTGTTCTTACAAAATTTAAAGACCAATACAAATGTTTCTATGTCTGCTGAACAAACTTTTTATTTGAACTTTTGTAAAACGGTGTTCAGAACCAAAATATTACAGCATGGTACTAGTGCATGAGAATCCGAAACAGACTAGTGAAATGGATTGATTTTGTTAAAGCTGAGAGGAAAACCAAAACACTAAATAATCGGGATATGGTGAAAAGTAATCTAGATTTTTAAAACTTTCAGTTTAATAATCAAAGGCAGTGTTAGTAATAAAAACGTATTTTTTAAATGGTTTCTAACGTGACTATTCTTTAAGGAGAGAATAACTCTTCACAAACTGTCTTAGAGGTTTTTCTGTACCCTGAATCTCTCTTTGAATCAAACTCATGTGCTCCTTGAATCAAAGTCAGGTTCAAACTTCAGATCAATTGTATAAATGCCTATGATCAGAAACGAGAGAAAAGTCATAAGGGCCTGATTTTCACTTTTATTAAGGCCCCTTTATGCTGCACTGGCAATGTAAAGGGGACCTTAGAGTGAGTGTAAATGTGCTTATCTCTGGTTTTATCTAGCTTTAACGTAATATAATAGTCTTCTAGCCGAGAAGATGAACATACCTTGTTACACAATATACTTAATGACTTTTTTCTTTTGTTTGCTTAGATAATCTCAAAATCTCTGACTTTGGTTTAGCGACTGTATTTAAACACAATGGTCGTGAGCGTCTGTTAAACAAGATGTGTGGCACTCTCCCATATGTTGCCCCAGAACTGTTAAAGAGAAAAGAATTCCATGCAGAGCCAGTTGACGTTTGGTCATGTGGGATAGTACTTACTGCTATGTTGGCAGGAGGTAGGAGTTGGTCAATTTCTTCTCACTATTTTATAACATGCATATTTACTGCAGCTTCAGTGATTTAGAATTGCAGTACAAATGCTCATAACCTACCTAGATTTAAAGAGTTGATCCCAAATCATGGAGGTGGTCTTGGTGGGGAAAGTAAATGTTGTATTTTAAATATTTTCTCAAACTTCCATATTGTGGTCAGCTTTTTTATAGATTCTCATAGGGGTCATCTGCCATGGACCATCTTGTTCTGTAGCAGCTCTAGTATATGGCATTTAGTATTTACCATTGTGGGCTGCATTAGTAGCTCTCTTTTATTATATATGTATTATATGAGCTGCATCCACACAATATATGTAGTACCTGTATGGCCCTGAGGATGTCACCTGGGCTGCAGCTGTGTGCTGATTGGGCTGCAAGCAGGCTGCAGATTGAGAACCGCTGGTATATGTAAGGGAGGGAATGGTCCCTCTATTGTGGAGAACTTTTCTGGCTTATAAATTACCCTGGTGAAATGGGCTAGCAAAAGGATCTGAGTCCTCATTCCCGCTTCCTTTACCCAGAGGCCTGCCTGACCTCAAGGGCTCTCCTTCTATTTTCCTGTGTGGCAGAGTCCTTGTAATCCCGATAAGGCTGGGTCCAGGATTTCTGGGGGGCTTGACTCCCAACCTTGTCGTGGTCACTTAGGGCAGGGGCTAGGGTGCCCCAACGCCGGAGTGCTCTCCCCACACTGGATGCTTCCCTGACCCACTGATCATTACATATAGTTCAAAGCAAATACAGTTTATTAAACCGCTTTTTTGACAAGGGATATAGAAATATCCAGTCATGATGTTGAGCAGGGAGCGCCTCTCACCACTGCAAGGAGGCAGTGAGTGTTGTAGTGATCCTTCTGAAGGCGTTAGCCAGAACCTTGCCATGCTTTGCTAATGCACGTTGTACAGGATTAGTGCTGTTAGCCAAGTGTGCCTCCTCACTAACCTTGCTGTTAGAGAAGAATTTACCAAGGTTTGGTGTTGCTCAGAGGTTCTCTGTTCACTGTAGAGCCACTGACTCACCAGTTTGAGGTCAGGATATTTTCTAAACAGATGATGTCATTACATATGTAACTAGTTTGGAGCAATGCAATGACTTTTAGATTTAACCTGGCGCTTCTATAACTTGTAACCACAATCAGGATGGACCATTTTTTTCCCTTTTCCACACATTGAAATCCATTTAGTTTCATGGCAGTGCTCTTTACATGTCTTTCACTCTTTCCCCAGCCATCCTAAATTTTTAATCCTTAAACTTGTGTTCAGAGGCATAAAAATGATTTGGTACCTGGCTTTTTTACTTGCAGAATTGCCATGGGACCAGCCTAGCGACAGTTGTCAAGAATACTGTGACTGGAAGGAAAAGAAAACATACCTTCCACCTTGGAAGAAGATTGATTCTGCACCATTAGGTAAGTTGTCAGTGGAATGGCTGGCTGATATTTATGTATTTGAGTAGGACAGTGATGTGTCTAGGGGAATAAAGTGCTGGAGTTATGCATGTCTGTGTTCAAAAATCATTCTGTCCAAAGGCTGGATTCTACCATGGACTCACGATGTCACATGAACTGTCACTTGTAAAACACCTTTAGGGAGCTACCTGAAAATTGGGTTGGGGGGAGGGTGGGTGTTCTTAAGCAAGACTGGTGGGAGACATCTGGTTGACATAGCAGCGATGGCAACAGGAAGAGACTATTCAGACAGACTTCTAAAGATATGGGGCCTGCCTCCTCCTTGCTTGTGCAGTCACTTAGCTGTGCAAAGCACATGCAAAGATCTGTCATTCTGATCTGGTACTATTTCACACCTACTTTGCACAGCTGTAATGACTTCACAAGCTAGTAAAGAATTGGGGCCCGAGATCTGTTAGACAGGAAATTATTTCCCAAGGGAACAGGCAGAAGTCCTGTTGATGAAGATGTGTACAACTAGGCTATGTTTTATTATTTTTGAGTAATGAGCTTAAGGACACTTGGTAGGTCTGAGCCGATTAAATTTAACCCCCCACGCCGGGCTCTTTGGTCACTACATTTCTTCCTGACCCTGGAAAGTCTGAGGGTTGAAGTGTTGCTAATATTTCTTTCTTTGCTGAGTGACCTGAAACCCAGGGTACTAGATTTGTTTGATGTACTCTCCTACGCTGTTCTTGCCCAAGATGATTCTTGTAAGTAAACAGGCCTATAGAAATCTGCTAGAAAGCCTTCACGAAGGTAGATCTGAGATCAGCTATAGCAAGTTTCTTATTTCAAAGGCTCTGTACACTGGCTGCAGCCCATGTGGAACACGGTGGACTTTGGTACACAGTCACAAATCTATACAAAACTTGGGTTTTATTTTAGGCCTCCCAGATATGAGTTTACCTTAACTTGGTGTTAATTTATGAGTGATCAAAATGTGGATTTGATCTGGTTAGGATTGATAAACTCTAGGATTTGGGGATGGAATTGAAGTATCATTTTGAAATGTAATGACCTGTGGAAAACATGATATATAGAGATCTAGGAATCAGGATATATGGCAGTTAATTCATTGTTGTTTCTTCCTATGAATGTAATGTTTCTCTCTAGCTTTGCTCCACAAAATACTAACTGAGAGCCCCACGGCAAGGGTTACCATTGCAGACATTAAAAAGGACAGATGGTACAACAAACCTATGAAAAAAGGTAAATGCCTTTAAGTGCTTTGTCAGCATAGACAAATAGCTTAAGTAAAGGTTGAGAGCATATGTTGGGGAAAAATCCTTGGAACGCTATAGTTAGCAGAAACTACTCTAAAGGCAAGAAATTCAGAGTTAAGGTTAAACTTACAAGAAATTCAAACAACTTAAATCCTGGAAATTCACAGTTGAAGTGTGCAGACTACCTTAATTCATCCTCTGGATATATGTCTCCTTCCCAACTTCTCTGCTCTGTGAGTGAAGTATCAAAAATGTACACTGCAGAGTATTGGTTTTAAGACTTTCATAAGTATGTTTGATATCAAGTGTGATATTTTTGTTACCTCATTAACCTTGGGTCTTCTCATATAAGTGTTAAAATGTCATCATCTGGCCTGGGAGACTTACATATGTGGGCATGTTAGCTCTGTCTCATGATGCTCTTATAACTGGTTGTCACACAATATCATAGGAGACGGTGCTGAGTGCTATCAGCACCCCATGGAAGGGGTCTGCTCTTAACGAAGAGTGGGGGGAACAGTTGTCTTCAGGATGAGATCTTGGAAATTTGCAAAGCATTTTTTTCCCTGTGGACACAACCATAAAGAAAGAAGGATCAGCGCAACCAGCATAGGCTTAAGGCATTATAGTTCCTGTCTTTTCTAGTGAGATGTTACTCTTTTGGATGAAAAAAATAGTTATTTCTCATTTTTTCTCACGGTATTCCTATAAGGGCAGGATTTTTCTGCCCCTTAAGTGACGTTTTTGAAAACGATAATGTATTAAGGATTTTTACCCTTGTGGCTATGCTAGTTGTTCAGCTATTGAGATTGCTGTTCAGTGATGTTTGGCATCATAGTTTCAAACATTGCAGCTACTGGAACACAAATGGAAAAAGTAAACAAAGACAGTGATCTGTGTGACAATTCAAAGACCAACCTATGCGAGAGCTATGTATTTTTAATGGGGGAGCTCCGCCTAATTCCAAATGCTTTAAACCCCTGGTGACCCTTAGGATGATTTTTCTGACCCCTGATTGTGTGATCTATCTTCTTCTGTTAGGTGTAAAGCGGGCTCGTGTCTCCTCAGGGGGCCTTTCAGACTCACCAGGTGGCTTTTCTAAGCACATTCGGTCTGATATGGACTTTTCGCCGATGAAAAGTGCACACAGGTCAGAATGCTATATGCTTGTGTTTTTTGTTGTTTTCAGTGACTAATACACAATGGACTCCAGCCTGATATCACCTTTTGTTTCTAGATGCCTGTTTTTTACACCACAGTGCTATTCAGATGGGGATATGTATAATTACATTCTTCTCCGCTACCTGTGATTCAGGGTTCCCTTCCCCGCGATACCTTAAAAGATGATTATAGCCTCACTTTCTAACCCCACACACTTCTTTACCTGAAAGCCTTTACTTGAAAACCTATAACTTAGTTAAGCTGGCTTCAGAATTATACCCTTCCTGTTGTATTTTATCCAAATTTCCCTCTTATGTGAAAACAGGTTGTAATCTGACAGCTCTTCTCCCCATACTCTGTATTCATAGATTCAAAGGCCAGAAGGGCCTTTGTCTAATCTCCCGTATACCACAGCACATAGAACTTCCCCCAAATTCCTAGAGTATATTAAAACATCATGGGGAGGGGGATCCTTAATAGTTTCCACCCGATGAATGTTCCATGAATTAGCGCAAACATACTCAGTATTCAGATCTGTCCGCACCCATTAAGACTGTGGCGGTGGCTAAACCTTGTAAAGTGGGTCTTTTAATATAAGTTCTGTAATGCAAATTACTGTTGTTTTTAAATATATATGTATATATGTGTATGTAGTCCAGCAGTTCCCGAACTGTGGGCCATCAGCAGATGGGGTAGAGCCTGTGAGGTTATGCCATCTGACCACAGATGTATCCAGACTGTGCCAGTATGGTGTGTACGAGGTCATGTTGTGTGGAGGCCACCATTTTGTACATCAAAACGGCATTTGTGGAGCAGGCCCGGACACATTGGCCATGCGGATGGCAGTTTGGCCATTTGCACCGTCCAGCTGTGCAAGCATCCAGCTGAGGGACTTGAATTTAGAAGATCCTTATCTGTGGGCAGCAGCGTTATCAACAAAACATCCTCTCTGCATGAGCTAGAAGGATCCTGTGCTAGCCTCTTCTGAGATGAGAATTTGCAGTGGCTTATAAGCGCCTTAAGGGCCCATATCTTTTTTGAGTACCCTGTTGGCACTCAGTAAAGATTCATTGTAAGTCCCTGTCTCTGTGCTGCCCTACTATCACCACACAGGGCTTTCTTCCATCCTGGGCTCATTTGCTTAACAGTGACTTCCTCTTTCTGATTTGTGATAAAAGGCACAGTGGACTCTGTGCTTCAACCTCCAGCAGTGAGTCAAGTGATGCAGTAATGAACGAAAAACAAGAGTTCAAGAAATGGACTTGCAAATATGATGAGGTTTGCTTTGATTATGGCTTCACCAGTGTTTTGGTCAAGAACGAAGAAAGGCTAAATGTCTGCTATGTCACACAGTGTTGTTAAGTGGAAGCATGATCCCTAATAAACCTAAACAATGCTTGGAAACATTTTGCAAAGAACACAGGGAAAACCAAGGTCATTTTTCCAGTGTTGGAAAAAAGAACTTTTGCATCAATCATTGCTATTCAGGGGAGTCAAGTCCATATCTGACCAAGCTCAAAAGTCATCATTTTGAAGTTAGTGACCGCACTGCACAGGCCAAGAAACCTCACAATTGGAGAGACTTTGATTTTGCCAGCTGCAGTCAATACGGTGAATATAATGTGTGGGGAAACTGAGGCCATGTCTTCACTAGCACTTATGTCGGCAAAATTTTGGTGTTGAGGGGTGTGAAAAAAACACAGCTCTGAATGACATAAGTTTTGCTGGCGTAAGCACTCGTGTGCACAACGCTGTGTGGGCAGGAGACACTCTCCCTCCAACATAGCTACTGCCGCTCATAGATCGAGTTTTATTATGTCGACAGTAGAGTTCCCTCCTGTCGGCATAACATGGCTACGGGAGCGATCTTACAGCAACGCAGCTGTAGTACAACTGTGCTGCTGTAAGCTTGTAAGTGTAGACATGGCCTGAGGCAAACTCAAAGCCATCTCACTCTCCAACAACATGGTGAAGCAAAGGATTGAAGCATTAGGAGCAGATAAGGAAAACATGTTAGTGGAGCGGCTGAAAAACACAGCTGCTTTTGCTCTGCAAGTTGATGAGAGAACTGAGGGTTGTGATGCACATGTCTTGACTTTTGTGAAATACACATGGGAGGCTGTGGTTCTCGAAGACATTCTGTTCTTTCTCTCGGACACGACACAGCCATGTAGCACATTGAACATTCCTTGTGCTACATGCAAGACAAAATGTACTGTGATATCACAATGGTGAGTTTTTGCACAGATGGAGCGTTGTCTGACAGGCCACAAAGCAAGTCTGTGTACCAATGCAAAGGAAGTTGCTCAGTCTCCTGTGTGGACTCACTGCATGGTTCACAGAGAGCAGCTGGCATCTAAAGGTCTGTGTCCAGAGCTAGGTGACATTTTGCAGCAGGTCTCATCTATTGTGATCTACATCAAGACCCAGCCTCTCTGTGCACATCTATTTGCAAAACTGCGAAGAAATCTGATCATGTGTTGGTCCACACTGAAGCTTGTTGGCATTTGAGAACAAAAGTACTAGAACAATTCTGTTAACTGAGATGAGTTGCATGATTTGCACGCCCATGTAATGGTCTGCGAAAAGTGAATTTATTGTTTTTTTTCCTTTGTGGCTAAAGGAAGATGTGCCTTCTTGCCTATGTCACAGACATATTTGGGAATCTGAATGAATTGAATACAGATCTGCAAGGAAAGAACTCCCACGTTCTTCAGCTGAGTGATTGAATCACAGGATTCATTCATGAAGAAAATTGTTTTCTGGAAGAATAATCTATAAAAGACGAACTATGAATCCTTTCTGAAGCTTTGCAAATTCCTGGCTGACCAGGTATTCAGCTTCCAGTGCAGGTGATGGCTGAGCATCTTAGTTGGCTGGAGGAATAGTTTCCATCCTTTTTCCCTGACTTGGACATGACAAAGTATGATTGGGTGCAAAACCCCTTTCAGTGCAAGCCTGATGCCATGGATCTGCCAGCAACTGAAATCGAACAGGTCATCAAAATTTCCTGAAATCGATTCTTGCAAGGAACCTTCTTGCTCAAATAAATTTGTTAGTCTCTAAGGTGCCACAAGTACTTCTTTTTTTTTTGCGAATACAGACTAACACAGCTGCTACTCTGAAACCTGCCAGAGTTGTGGTTCATTGTCCAGAATGAATATCCTGCACTCTCAACGCTTGCCTTGAAGTTGATGGTGCCATTCACAAGCACATACTTGTGCGAAGTTGTATTCAGCACACTTGTGTCCATCAAGTCTCTGCAATATTGAGCTACTGTTGGTGTCATGTCAGAGATTAGATGTGCAATTTCTACCATGCCACCAGACTTTGAGGAGCTGTCACAACATGCAAGCCCATGTATCACACGAGAGCACTAAATAGGATACTTAATGTGTAAATTCTTTGGATTCCTTGGTTGCTATATTGTTGTCTGGGGTCACAGAAAACAGTCTCAAAATTGTGGTCACTCAGCCAAAAAGTTTGGGAACCCCTGGTTTAGTCTGTAAAAGTCAGCAGAGAAATGTAACATTACTATGATGCACTTTATTATTAACATAACTAATTGTGTTTTCATGTTTCAGTGAGGAAAAAGTGAGCTACTCCACTTCTCAGCCAGAACCTCGCACTGGCATTTCCTTGTGGGACAGCAGTCCAACCAATATCAACAAACTAGTGCAAGGGATCAGCTTCTCCCAGCCAGCATGCCCTGAGCACATGCTAGTTAACAGTCAGTTACTTGGCACCCCAGGCTCATCACAGGTAATATTTGGAAATGCTGTGTTCATTCATCTTTGTTCACAGCAGCTTGGCAATTTGTTCTTTGGCTGCTAGACTGTAAAGATGCAGTTTGCACCAATTCAGATACATTATCCTAATTTTAAAGCCAAGTAAATTGGGTGGGGGGGAGGCGGTATCCAAACGTTCAGCCCCGAAAAGTAGTTGGTTATCTGTGGAATCCACATCTCTAATCTGCAGAACCCATGGCAACGCTTAGTGAAGAGGATGACCCGTTTCTTTACAAAGCTGGATGCTGACCGCTCCTATAATAGTTTGAAGGAGGTTTGTGAGAAGATGGGCTATGTCTGGAAGAAAAGCTGCACAAACCAGGTACAGTCCATGGAAATAAACAAATTAAAGCTTCTGATTCTATTTGGCAAATCTATAAAAATATCTTTTAGTCAGATGTAGCATTTTCTGAACCAACACAAGACCTGTAAATGAGATCTCTAGTCAGTCAGACTCCCTTAGTGTAGTTTCCAGTATACTGTGAATATAGTGCTAGGAGCATGTGAAATCTGCCCTTCTCATAAAAATGTTCTCCCATTTGCCTTCAAGGTCACTATATCAACTACTGACAGAAGGAATAATAAACTGATTTTCAAGGTGAACCTGGTAGAAATGGAGGACAAGATTTTGGTGGATTTCCGCCTGTCTAAGGTATGCAAAATAAGCCAACAGACTTTAGCGTTAGAGAGAGGGGTGGGTGTTAGAAGCAAACTGGACCAGTTTCCATATGATAAAGCTACATGTGCAAGTGGGATAAGATGACAAGCCTGGGGAGAAGGGGTTTTTGCATGGGCATATTGTGTCTAACTGAAGAGAGAACCTACAAAATGGGAGCTGGAAACATTACTTTTTCACTGGTGCCTGAAACAAGGGCTGTGGTACTGAATGCCCCATGCAGTGCAAAAGCTATTAACTCTCACTGTCTGGAAATCCCTCCTTCCAGTTAATAAGTGTGGCGAGCTAGTGAGAGAGCAAGCTCCTGGAGTGCCCAAATACTATGGGAGAAGAAACTGTAATTATCTAAAGCATAATGACTTCTAGGCACTGGGGGAGCACGCTGGGCTAGCCTGATCCTGCTTTCGTGGAAATCAGTGTTATGAACTCCAGTGGAAGCAGGATCAAGCCCTTAAAGGTGTAGTTAGCCTTATTCTATCTCCCCATTCAGCTCTGCCGATACCTACTGTAGTGGGGAAGAAAGCATGCCCACACTCAGACAGCCTCTCTTGGAGTTTGGCAGCCACTAGCTGGACTGTCTGCCAACACTGCAACTGTATTGTGGCTGTTGGTGTGCATGGGGTTCCCTGTGTCTTGTCCCTAGCGTAGTATGCAGGGGCTGCCATAAATTTGGCCCACAGTATCAAGCTAAGAGAGATCTGAATGTAATGGACCATAATAGCTTTCTGGGAAAAGGTTAAGCATTCTGTCTTGAGTGCAGGGGACTGGACTAGATGACCTCTTGAGGTAGTTCCAGTTCTACACGTCTGTGATTCTGTGAAACGGGGGCCCTACCTAATATTAAAGGTGCTCTTCATCTCTAGGCAGATGGTGCAGAATAGTCTGCTGCAGGTGAGACAGAGAACTCCAGCTTCTGCCTCTGCCAGTGACAATTAACAGTAATAGGTTGATTTGCTTGCTGTGTTAAAGATCCCTCATAGTTTTGTTTCTATAGAAAACACTTGTCAATGTATTTGGAGGGAGAGTCTATTATAAATGTGTGCATGAAAAATAAGGCTCTGAAATGGATTAGGTCATGGTCAGGCCAAGCTGTTAAGAGCATAATAGTAGAGGTGGGGACTCTTCTTGCCATGTCATATATTTCCCTTCTTGAAAGATAAATAAAATTAAAATATTTTTAAGACTTAAACATGGGTTCAGGGGAATTTCTGCTGCACCCTAAGTGGAGAAAATCCACAACTACTGTCTCAAAGGGGCAAATGGAAGAGACACTTTTGTAAAAGGTTATAAAAGTAATACCATGCATATAACGATAGAGGAGGTGGCAGCGTTTCTTGAGAACTAATTATAAACAATGAACACAAAACTTGGAAAAAATAAAATCTCTATAATAGGTCCCAGTGTCCCTCAGATAGGCAGGCGTTAAAGCGTTCCCATTCCTTTCTTGTCTGTCTATTTGCACATGCATGCAGTCCCCAAAATAGTTTTGTTTTTATTACCTAGGGTGATGGGTTGGAGTTCAAGAGGCACTTCCTGAAGATTAAAGGGAAACTGAATGATATTGTCAGCACCCAGAAAGTATGGCTTCCTGCCACATGATCCAGCTGCTGTTGGGAGGTGGAGTGAATTGGATGCTGCTACACTGATCTGATTTTTTTTTATTCCGCATCAACAAATACTTGTGGGTGCCAGTATCTGAGAGTCACTTGCGATGGAAACCCATTTGTTTAGGGATCCGTCTTGACCCCAGGACATTTCCTCAGAGGACAGACTTAGTAAATACATGTCCAGATGAATTTGGGATAATGATCATGAAAGTGTTCCTGACTGTAGTAAGTTAGCTGGTGGCATGCCTTCCTATTGCTAGCTACTGGCATGAGGATTTTTTTCTTCTGCTCAGTCAGAAAACCCTGTCATTGGGATGCTTTGTGCTTCTGTGGGAGCCAACCTGACTGTTCCACTGATTTACGGAGCGTATGCCTCCTGCCCCAAGGTTGTTGCAGCCACTGACTGATGCAGACTTAGGGTTGGGGGGGGGGGGGGGGGGGGGGAAGAGCCTATACCTAATAAAAAATTGTTTCAGCCCCCTTACTGCATTGCCGTATCTTCTGATTTTAAATCTATTTGAGCTATAACTTGTCTGTTACCCTTTCATTTAAAATTTGATGACATGGGTGCAGAGGCTTAGAGACAATGTGGGTCTTAGTCATGTAATTTTGTTAAATTTATTATATCTTTTTGGCCTTTCCTTTTATTAAGTAAAGTGGTAGGGTCCAAAGCACTAGTTCTAGTGTGTTGTTCACCTGTAGTTTTACACATTGCAGGCTAAGAGGTCTGCAGCAGAATAGATGCTGTATTAACATTTTATGTACCATTTATCTTGTTTTTAACTATCTTTTCCCCTTGTTCAGTGTTTTGCAGTTTTCCCTACATTGGAAGGTAAAGTCAAACCTATTATATACAACAGCTTATATTGGGAATTTGCTGGAGGGTAGCAGGGCCCCATGGAAATAAGAAATGCCCCTTTCTCTTACCCCTTTTTTGGTACCTAAAATTCAGACTTAGTTGGACAGTTATTTCTTTTAATGGTACATAGTTTATTTGTGTTAACAAGGACCACTTGCTTCTGACCAGTCACAGTCAAATGTACAATGATGGGAAGATAAACACGATCTGTGTAAACTTTTGTAAATTTTACAAAATAAAGTATAATCTCAATTTGAAAGAAAGCAAATGGCTGCCCCAGGGTGTTCTGAACAGAATTTCATTTCAGAAAAGTTTGCCCCTTCTAGGGATCTCAACTAATTAACAAAGCAAAGGATCCAGACAAGCCGGTGTCTCATTCCCACAACACCACCTCCCAGCATCTAGGAGTGCCCCCTTTCTGTTCTATTTCAGTAGGAAGGTAGGGAGTCTTTTCATGGCTTCCACATCGGGCAGGGAGGGGGTTCCAGTTTTGGCTCAGGATTCAGCTTTCTGCTATGCCTCTGAGTCCTTCAGTCAGTCAGGCTTACTTCTCCAGCAGGCCTGGCAGTATAGGAGCAGTTCAAAGCTCACTCCCATAATGACTGAAGTCAGGTATGACACTGCCAGTTTTCAAGCAGTGGTTTAGCAACATGTTTTGTATTGTGACCTCTTCTTTCCTAGCTTTAGCCATAAACTTGAAAGGAAAGTTTTACATATTCCTGATACAGGCCTCCGGGCCATCTGATGTAGCTTCCCAAAACAGAGGTCAAACTGGGACTGTGGTTTAAATTAATAGACTATATCTGACTAAGAGTGTTGTTGGGTTTTTTGGCATGAAAATGCTTAGGAGAGATCAGAAGGCTGCCTGGCTTATGCAAGGGGAACCCCTGATACAAATCAGAACTGCTGAGATTTCAATCTAGTAATAATGAGGTTTATAGACCAGGAAACAAAGTAGAGAAATCCAAACGAAGCAAAGTTCACAGTTCAGCAGCGCAATATCATAGGCGAACGGATACATGCTCAGTACACCAGCAATATTTCAGAGACCACTGAAATGTTGCACCAGCTGCTGGCTCTGGATATGTGAAGATTGCTTGAAAGTCAGTCTCCCTTGCATAGGCGCTCTTATTTCAGTTTTGAGTGCTTTTACCAACCAACTGAAGTTGATTCCTTATCAGCTAAATCGATTCAAGACCTAAATTGGTGTAGGTAAGCTGGTGCAAGCCCCTAATGTAGATGCACTTAAACCAGTTTAACTTGCATCTTTTTAGCTTCCCTCAGTAATTACTGATGCAAGTTAAAGTGATTTAAGTGACAGTTTCACTGGTTTAAATATATGGATGTTAAAGGTTGCATTAGTTTTAAATAGATTTTAAATTGATTTGGGCAAACTAGTGCAAATCTCCTAGCATAAACAAGGCGTAAGACGTGCAAAGGTGAGGGGACCTGCCCTAGAATACAGCTAGTAGAGCTGGAACTGGAACTCCAGAGTTCCTTGCCTGTGCTCTCTCCACTAGCCCACATTACTATCTTTTGCCTGAGGGAATGGTGAAATGGGATAATCAGCGAGGCAGGGGTGTGGGTGTGAATGCAGCTAACTGGGATCTCTGCTGAGTAAGGCAGAGGTATATGAGCTCCCAGCTGTGAGGACCTCGATTGTGGCTGAGTCAGTCTGGCAGCGAGCCTGTTAGTGCCATGTATGGCAAGAGTTTTCAGAGTTAGGATCGTTTTGGAAATGTCAAATTAGCACCATAAAGGCAGCGAGGTCCTAGGTGGTGGTCTTGGATTGTGGAGGCATCTTGAAGCCTGAGATGGGGGATGAGAGAAGGGCTTGGGATCCCTATAGCATGGAGGATGCAGGCCCCGCAATTCCACGAGGTGGAGATCCACATTGGTGCTGTTGGTAGTTCTAATTGTTGCAGAAATCAGTGTTGCAGCAGGAAATTTGGTGGTGGCCAGACTTCGTTGGCTCCATGATGTTGCATCTGTCACTTTGCATAGTACAATCTACCTGTGAAGAAAATTGGATGCCTGCTGTGTAGGGAGGAAAAACACATCAGGACAATGCACCCAGGAATGAGGGCTCCTTCCAAGATTCTCACAAGTGCCTGCTCAGTTCAACTCAGTGGCAAAGGTGGAGTGTCTAACCAGAAATAGTTTATGTACTCACTTCCTCTCTCCGCTCACAGGGCTAGACTAACATTTAGGCTAACAAGACATGTGGGCCAAGAAAGAGATGAGAGTGCTGACCCTCGAAAGAACATGGAGGTAAAGAACTGCTCTTGCTGCCCAGCTCTACTGTGTGAACACATATGGATCATGACAGATCAGGACTCATGGGGTTATCCACATAACTCAGTGCTGGGGGAAATGGCTAACTTCTGCTGGGGCAGACTAGAGCTTGATTTAAAGACTTCTCCAAAGGACCACTTCCAGCAATAGCACAGCAACCAACCAACATTCTTCAGTCCTACTTTGTGAGCTCAGTGTTTGGGTACACACTGGAGATGGGGACAAAAAGCTAAGCCAGCTACTTAATGCTGGGATCCAGGCTGAACCCCCAAAGTAGGTCATGTCAAGATTAAGATGTACTGCGCTCCCAGGTGATCACTGAAGCTCCCAGCTTCCCTCTGATAGGAAGAAGGGAGTAAACGCTGGTGTCCCAGCCACACACAACCTTTGGGTGCACTGTTCCTAATGTCGTTTCACTGGGCTACAGGATTCTTCTTTATTTCCTGCCCTAAAGTGCTGTCCCTGGTTAAACGGCTGCCACGTTCCCCAGGGTGACTGCCTTTCAGAATTGGGTGATGTGTCCCATATAGTCTCACCTATCCCCCCCGGCATGTTGTGGCTTCCATTCGTTGATTTCACCATTTGAGCTCCTTGGATGGGGGAGGTGCTAAAGAAGTGGCCAGTACTAGTCTGTGTCCTCTGCCCGGGCAGCTCCCCTTGTTTGCCAGTGCAGCGCAGCCACTATGGCACTGCATGGTCTGCAGCTGGGCTGGGACTTGTGAATAAGGCCCCCTTTGGCCATGGGTCCAGTGTCTCCATTGACCCTCATGGGTCCTGCTGGCCCTGTGTGCATGCAGTTAAGCCGCCTTCCCAAAGCCAGTCCTCTTCCCGTCTTGGCCCTAAGATGGACCCTCCTTGGAGAGAGGGAAATAGCTTTTCATAACCCATTACTGTCACTTCAAGCTCCTTACCCTACAGCTCTGCAAGCAGGGGTTAAATAGAATAGGTATAGGTAACTCCGACAGCCCTTGCCTGGACACCCAGCCAGAAGGTGAGACTCATCGCATTTCTTGGCCACAAGGGGTCACTAAGGGTACAGCATGCCTTTTCTCCCTGTCCCGTCTCATTTGGGGCCCAACTGAGAGAGAGGCAGCCTGAGCTGATATAAACCACCCCGTGGGGAGTGCCCATTTTGGTACATACTGGTATAGACTCTGATGAGTTTGCAGGGCAGCCCTGGCGGAAGGTGGCAAATGCCCTGTCCTTTGATGCAGCCGAAGATGGGAATCTTGTTTTGGCAAACGATACATCGAAGGACTTCAGCTGCAGGAAAAAGGAGGAAAAACCCACACAGAGCCAGACAGGAAGCAGTTAGCAGAGAAGGCCACAGAATTCCCCATGCACCTGCCATGGAGAGTGTGTCATGTGATGACAAAGACCACCCGCAGATGGAGCCAAAGAAGAGGCCTGTGGAGAAGCAAGCCAGGCAAAAGAGTCTGCTCGTGATAAAGGTAAATTCCCTGGGCTGGCAGTAGCACATGCCAATGTCCCTCCACTAGGGGGAAGCAAACGTGTTAGAGGGTATTACACAGGAGGCAAGGCTGGGCAATAGTTGGTTCCCAATCCCTAAGGACAGAGGCAGGTAACACAAAGACAAGTGGGGACTGTTCTCCCCGCGACTGCTAAGCAGTCTCTCCAGTGCCCAGAGGAAGCCAGTTGCCAGTTTCTGACAGGGTTTAGTTACACAGGAGACAAATGCTGTTAGTCACCATCTAGCAGTGAAATGCAGGAACTGTTCATGCAATACCCTGTGCACGCAACACGAGGACAATCACCGCTGGACCGCTTTGTTAGCTGTGCTCCATGTCTCCAGTGGCTCTCCACAGGCAGCTTGGATTTGCTGCATGGAATGGACTAGCACAGTGGGGGTGTTTGGTGCTGTGATCTGCTGCTCGCAGACCTTGGAAAGATCCGGTTCATCGAGGCTAGATTACAAAACCAGAAGGGACCATAGATCATCTAGTCAGACCTCCTGTATAGCACAGGCCAGATAATTTCACCTAGTTACTCCTATTCCCTGGGCCCCCCAGGAATTCTGCCATTGCAGCCCAGGCACTTATCTTTCCAGCGCCCCCATTTTGTTTCAGGGACTCACCTGGGACACAGCAGAGCAGGGCAGAGAAGCCCAAAGCCAAGAGCTTGTTCATCTTTAGCTTCGTCTCCGTAAAGCCGCAGTCATGTGGGGTGAGTGGGGAACCTGAGACTGCAAACCTCGCTCAGTGGCTGCTGGGCAGGGCAGAACTGAATTGATATCCCCAGGGCAAAGGCGAGTCCTGGGAGGAACCAACATGCACCCCCGGGATCTTACTCGTTGGACTCTTGTCGTATGGCAGACCGGGGGCAAGACGCTCCCTGCCCAGATGAGCGGCTGCTGCTCCATAAACATGCTAATGCAGGGGTCGGCAACCTTTCAGAAGTGGTGTGCCAAGTCTTCCTTTATTCACTCTAATTTTAACGTTTTTAGAAGGTCTCTTTCTATAAGTCTTTAATATATAACTAAACTATTGTTGTATGTAAAGTAAATAAGGTTTTTAAAAATGTTTAAGAAGCTTCATTTAAAATTTAAATTACAATGCAGAGTCCCCCGGACCCGTGGCCAGGACCTGGGCAGTGTGAGTGTCACTGAAAATCCGCTCGTGTGCTGCAGGTTGCCTACCCCTGTGCTAATCAGAGACTAAATTTGGCTGAAGGCCCGAGGGATGGAGGAGGCAAACTGGCTGAAGGGCCCTGCACTGTGGTGCTGGCCGGGGGAAGGGTATGATGGGAGGGCTGGTGTAACTGAGGGAGAGGAGAGAATGTGGGATCCGATCCCAAGTTACTCGGTGGGCCAGATCCTGAGCTCAGGTACACCTGTGTGAGCCCAGAGTCCCTCCCCATCGACCCGTTGTCCCAGGGCTCAGCATCTGGCCCACTGAGGTGAAGTTGGTTTATTTTAAGGTTGTTTGTACAGCAAGTTCCCGTTACCGGCCATGGCCCTGTGTGACAGGGACACACGGCGTCCCTTTGAGGAGGGTGGGGAGTGTTATGGAAAAGAACGAGACTTTCAGTGCCAGCCTTGTCAGGGAGTGCTACCAGTAGGGCAGCTTTCAGAGTAACAGCTGTGTTAGTCTGTATTCGCAAAAGAAAGGAGGACTTGTGGCACCTTAGAGACTAACCAATTTATTTGAGCATAAGCTTTCGTGAGCTCCAGCTCACTTCATCGGATGCATTCCCATCCGATGAAGTGAGCTGGAGCTCACGAAAGCTTATGCTCAAATAAATTGGTTGGCCTCGAAGGTGCCCCAAGTCCTCCTGTTCTTTTTTTTTGTAGTGCATGGAGCATCTGGCAGGATTGGGCTCTATGGGACCCGCTCGTGTGGCCCTTCCCCCCCCCCGACTTGGGTACGACACTGCAGGAACACGGGGGCCCACATCCCTGCAGAAGTTTGCAGGATTAGGACAGTTCAGGGGGAAAGGGTGGGGGAGGGGATGAAATGGGGTTCAGCTGCGGTTCACCCAGGAACTGTTTTCCAGTCGCATCCTGATAGGTTAGCAGTAGCTGTGGGTGCATGAGCTGAGAAGGAGAGACAGGGTTGAGTGCCACACTGGCAGCTAAGCCCATGGCCTCTCATGCTCTCTCCCAGCCATTGAAGACAAGCAGGGATAGGAGGGATCCCTGTGAGACCCACAGTGGGGCCTTTGGAGAGGGGCCGTTACCCACCGCCCTTCTGAGTTCTGCTGCAGAAGGCTGATTGGAGCCATTGAAGCAGCTCCTGCTGGGATCTGTGTCAGCAGGTAGCAGGACTTTATGGTGCACTGTGTCAAAGGCTGCGGAGAGGTCCAGCAACAGGGGCATAGAGAGCTGACCTGCGTCCACGGCCACGAGGCTGTCGTCTCTGCTGTGCCCTGGTATGAACCCTGCTGCGAGGCAGCCCCATGTTGTTGGGCCAGCGTGGTTATGACCGTCTCAGTTGTTATAGGAGGTTGGAGACAGGGCAGCTGTTGGAAAGATCTACTGGGTTGGGGTTTGGGTGGTGAGAACTGGTCAAGCACTTGACTTTTTTAAAGGGTTTGGTAGCTGTGTCTCTCTGGAGGAGGCATTGACTAGTTCCTGATGACTCTCCTCTAATGAGATGGGATGGTCTAAGTACTATGAACCCCGAAACATACAAATGGGACAGAGTCCCCCTCACACAGAGTGGGGAGGCAAAACACCCTTTCTCCCCCTCCTCCAAACATCTGGCCAGCCCACGCTCAGCTCAGGTCTGCTCCCATGCAACCCCAGGGAGCAGAATGCTATGCTCTGGATCCACCCACCTGAGCCCGTCGAGCCTGGCTGGAAGTGATGCAGTGGGGGGTTGTGCTGGGAGCATGGATGACAGCTGGTGGGAGTATGTTTAGCCCTGTGGAGGGGATAGCACCGGCTCAGATGGAGCTGATTTGTTTGGGGACAGAGACTGTGGCTTGGCACGTCCTAAGGTCACTCTGAACCCAGAATGCTGAGGAGCCCACTTTGTGTCAGGTGCTGTACGCGCAAATCATGCCGAAGCATCAACGCACTAATGTCCTAAGTGGGGCCAAAGGGGAAACAAATCTGACTGGTGCTGTCTGTGTCGCTACCTTGCTAAACTCACCCATGTGTCTTGTGCTAAGGAAGTGCCTTTAAAATCTCAGTGCACCCAGCACATCACAGACTGTGCTAACAGACCCTGGCCCCCATGCAGCACCCCTCCCCCTGCCAGCACAGATGGGGATGCACTGCATGCTGCAGCCTGTGCGAACGCAAACCTGTACCCCTTTTGGTCCAAGTAGTTAGCCAGTATTCGGGGCTCTGTGGGTCATTTCCATTAGGAGGAGAGACTGATGAGAGAGTCAGGTATTTCTTTGGTGCAATCCTGTTTAGTCAAAAGACTGGCCACAAAGTCCTATTTCCCTAAACAAAGCAGAACCAAACAGCAGGCAGTTTCTTTGCCCAGAAACCCAAGTCTGCGTTTCCAGCCAGCACTGTGCCCAAACAGAAGCCCTGTCTCTCAGCTTCCTGTCAGGGCCATGCCCACCCCTGCTTGTCTTGCCTGCTGATGCTGGTGCACACAGGTAGCTGCAATCAATCAATCCCCTAGCCCCTGTGTTTTACAGTCAGTCTCAGGGAAACCTCTTAGCCCCACATAGAATCACAGAAGTGTAGGGATGAGAGGAACCTTGAGAGGTCACCAAGACCAGCCCCCAGCCCTGAGGCAGGACCAAGTGAGCCTGAACCATCCCTGACAGGTGTTTGTCAAACCTGTTCTTAAAAACTTCCAATGATGGGGATTCCACAGCCTCCCTTGGAAGCCTGTTCCAGAGCTACCTTTATGTCTAACTTCCCCTGGTCTTGTTCTCAGGAACAGCTGGACCGTTTTGGCTGAAACTTCCCAAGAAAATTCAGCCAGAGGCAGACACCGGTCATGGAAAATGTCAGTCTAACTAGCTAAAGTTTGGCAAAGGTATCAGCAACTGAAAACAGGGCCCTATAATGAGATGTCTTGGGCAACCGTAATAAAAAGTGGGGCTAACAACCCCTTCACCGAAGGCTGGACTATGCAGCCACCTCTCGGGCCCAGCCCAGGTTTAGGACAGGACTGGATGATGGATCCCCTGTCCAGTTGAAACTGCCAGGGGAGGGGGTGTTTCAGGAGGTGGAATGTCATTGCTTGAGTTGGACGCCTTGGCTAACGCCAGTGAGGTCCCTCTGGGGCCTGGGCATTGGCCTCCAGCAGCCAGGGTGACAACACTAAATAGCATGTGGCTGAGATGGTCCAAACGACTCCATAAAGGGGGCATCCCGTTGTGCTGGGCTTAGAGTGACCCTGGGACGGGCCGAGCTGCAGACTCTGTCCCGAAGCGAATTGGATCCCTCTGATCCTGCACTGCCTCCGCTGCTGGGCTAAAAATACTGATGGAAATCTGCCACCCACGTTCCCAGCATGTTCCCTCTCTGTCCTTTGCAGCGGTCAGGCTCTGGTGGGCAGATCCCCAGGGGCTCTGTTCCCTGGGCATGAGGGGGCACACACAGCGGTTGGAGGAGTTTGCACCTTTCCCAGCGCATGAGCTGAGGGGGGTGCTGCAGCTCTCCCTTCCCACGGCCACTGGGGGCTGCAGGTTTGTTTGTGAGGTTCCTGTCCTGCTCGCCCACGCCCACCATCCCACCATGATCCTGATCCCCCATCCCAGCTCCCAGTTGCCCTGCTGGTAACTGGGGACACATGCTGCCTCTTTCTCCATAACAGCTGGTGGGACTCTCTGCCTGTGGCCAGGGCGTTCTCTGTTGGAGCCACTAGCTCTGCTGCCCTCCACGTCCCAGCAGGGAGACTTTCAAGGGGGTGTCAGTCTGCTGTGGCCAACTCTACTGCAGCTGGCTCCCCTCTCCCCGGGGGTGGGTGTGTGTCTCAGCCAGGCAGACTCAGCAGCCAGCTGTGCATTGGGCCCGGTTGGAAGGTTTTATTCACAATAACGGGGCAAGAAGTTTAATGCTTAAAAAGGACCATTTATGTTCTGTGGGCATTGGGTGGGACCCTATGGGAGCCCTGGGTGACGGGCACCAGTGCAGTCCAACCCCAGCCTTTGGGGAGGGTGGGCAGCTGCCTGCCCAGAGCTGGTCACCTGAGCAGGAATCGCTCTGCTCCTGGGCTGACCATCCGATCCGATCTGGGATATGACTATTAATCAACAGAAACTCATGGGTGTTTCCCGCAGGATGGGCCCTGACTGGCTGCTGCCCAGCCCCACCAGGGGTAATATAAATCCGGCTGGTGTTTGAGTTGTGCCGTACTCCGCCCACTGCCCTGCACCACTGCCTGGGCTCTCACTTGCCCAGCACACCGTGCCACTTTCCACTCCGCTTGAAGGAGAGAAAACGAAGGATGAGCAAGATGCTGGTTCCTATTTTCACAGCCCTGCTGTACTTCTCAACGGGTAAGTCCCCAAACAAAACCGACCTATTCACTCCCAAAGGGGCCAGATCCTCAGCTCCATCGGGGAACTGGCCCTTCGACGTCAGTGGAGCTAGCTAGGATGATGTACATCAGCAGAGGAGCTGGCCTTTGTTGGTTAGGGAGAGGGATTCACACACGGTAGCGTAAGAGCAGACTGTGCTCTGCATTAGGGACAGACGCCTTGGCAAAGCCAGGCTGGCCTAGGGAGGGCCCTGTGAAGGGACAGATAACATCAGCGTGTTCTGAAGCCAATTCAGGGAAATAGATGGGTTCACAAGACTGAGACAGGGCTGTTGAGTTGTGCAAACCAGCAACATGCTTCCCAAATTTGCCCAAATACAGCAGGGCCATGAGCTTGTTAGAAGCGTCTCTGGCGGTCGCAAAGTCCAGTTGGGCTGGATCCAGGCAGTTGGTAGAGAGAGATCTAGCCTCTTTGTGTAACTAGCAAGGGGGATTCTGAGGTGACCTGTGCAGTGAACATTACCAGTCCCTTTTCTCCAAGACAAAGAACTGGACGACGTGTGTTGCAAAATGGTGAGCGGCAGCCAGTGCCAATCACTTCCGTGGGTCACTTTGTGATTTTCACATTATTTTAAATTCTTAATAAAATTACAGGGGCAGGAAAAGTTCTATGCTGCCACAGGGATAGTGGAATAGAGAGATCTGACTGGCTGCTGACATGCTGCACAGTGTTTTTTCCCCAGGCTCTTTAAAATACTCACTGACTCTTTCATAAGCAGTACAGAAAAACTGGAATGGGCCTTCAGATTGATTTGATTCACTCTCCACATAGAAATCACAGTTTCTGAAATATTTTGAACTAAGAGAATAAAAGCTCATTGTAACTGAAAGGACCAGAGAGAAAGGTATTTTTCCCATTCCCTCCCCCCCCCCGCCCACACTCCCAGGTTTACTTTGTTAGCATATCGCAGCCCTCTGTTTAGTCAGTTTCCGAGGCAGAGCTAGTGTGTGTATCCTGACAAGATTCTATTTCATGGGCTTGGCTGGGCCAGTTCCCTAGGCCGATCCACACTCAGCCTTTCTTATGACAGAGGGAAGTGAGCGCTCCCTGTCACCCAGCCACGCTCCTGATCAGATGGGTGACTCTGTTTCCCCACCCATCTCCAGTGGCCCTCTTTGCCTGGCGAGTTGTCATTCTCTTCTCTCTCCTGTCACGCAGCGGGAGCCCTCCTATGCCACATGTGTGTCAGACTGCAGCCAAACAAGATGTGCACAGGATGGAAATCGTGCAAGGCGGATCAGGAGGAATCCTGCTTCGTCCACACACACTCATTAGGTAGGTGCATGTGGCATGCACGCACCCCGCTCTCATTCCTGCTGTTTTCAGTCACCACGAGATGCCCCATCTCTGGGGCTCAAGGTGCTGCCCCTGGCAGGGTGAGAACTAGGACGGTCTCTGCTAGGTCTAGAGCGAGCCCTGGTTGCCAGACTGGCAGGAGCACTGGGGAACTCCAGAGGGAGCTATGTTCAGCCCTTAGTTCAGACAGGTGGCTGTGACATGAGGCCGTAGGGAAGAGCAGGAGGATGAGGGGTAGGGGTGTGGGAATCTCCTGAGGGCAGAGGGAGGGACCGGCAGGTGTCTTCCCCTGGAGCAATGGGAAAGGAATGGCAGGGCATGACAACGGAGCCCTGGTTCCTGGGCGTCAACAAAGGGAAAGGCATCTCAGCTGGGGATGCTCTGGCTATGGGGCTGGACCAGATGCTGGATTCCTCTGGCACAGTCCCAGGGAGGAGGCATCTGTCCCTGTCGCCCAGGCTCTCTCTCTCTCTCTCCAGGGAACAACTTCGTCTTTGCAAAGATGGGCTGCGTCAGCAATTGCCAGGACTACGTCATAGGCCCATACAACTGGCACATCTTCCACTGCTGCACCAAAGACTTCTGCAACGCCTAGGGGCTATGGACGCCCCCTCACTTCCCACTCACTTGGGAGCAGCTGCACTTCTGGAGGAAGTCCACGTTCTCCCCTCCCCCCCCGTCCCTCCTGGTTTCTCTCCAGTCTGATTAAAAACCCACCAGAATCCAAGATCTGCTGTGGCTCATGCCTGCCCTCTCCTGTCCTCTGGCCTCTCCCCTTCCCATGGCCCCCTCCCCTTTGACCCCTCTCCTGCCTGCTCACCCCCTGTCTGTGTCTCTCTGGCCCACTATGACTCCCTTGGATATTGGGTTTGCTGTGGTGCCGTGGGTTAAGGTGACCCATGCGCCCCCCTGCCCAGCTGTCATTCAGAGCCCCCCTCCTCCCCAAGAGCATTAAGGGGCCCCTCTCCCCTGGCAGCGCTCTGAACAGGGTGGGCAGTTTGCCAGTGGGGAAGGCTCCAGTGCCCTCCCTTGACGTTTGAGGGACGGGGACACCGTGCCTGCCACCCAGCCAGCCCTGCTCAATCCCCCCTCCATCCGCCAGGCTCCTCCGAATGCCCGGGGCCAGCCCTGAGCCTGGGGCCCGTGTAACCCATACCCCGCAGGGCAGTGCTCCCTGTTCCTCTGGCGGTAGCTGGGTACCAGACAGAGGCTGAGGAGCCTGCCACAGCCGTGGCTAATGGAGCTGGCTGGGTCTGTCAGCTGAGGCGGTCCCGGCTCATGCGTTAAGGACCCCACCGCCAACGGCCCAGCCAGGGCCAGCATATCGTCCACCATTCCCAAAGGCCAGGAGGAACGAGGGTGGGACTGTCGTTAAGATACTTTGTGGGGTGGGAATCTTACCTCCTTAGAATTTGTTAATTACTGATTTCCCCAAATTTGTTCTGTTGTCTGCCCTACCCCCTTTTCCCCTCCCCTAATAAAGTTCTCTTTGTTTTAACCCCCGGACTCGGTCCTGGCGCATGGGGAAGAATTGCCCACCAAGGGTGCTCAGGGTGGGGTACATAGTTTCATTCATTTCTGGGGAGGGGATCAAGTCGGTGTCAGCTAAGGAAGGCACCCCGAGAACATTGAACGCAGCCCTTTTGCTGCCAACACAGGGTTACACTTAGACCCGCCCTCCCAATGGGAAGAACTTGGTTGTAATGCCACAGGGCCAGGCACTCTGCCTTACCCACCAGAGGGAGATGTCCTAGCAGAACCTCTGCCATCTTTGGACACGTAGGGGTGGTGATAGAAGCTACTGTCCCAAATGTGGGTCTGAAAATACAGTGTCCCCTGACCGTGTATGAAGAAACGAAGGCCCTGAGAGCTCCGTGAGAATCAGAGGGTTTATTGCGCAAGGAAACAAAAGAGCAAAATACCACAAAGAGGGAGATAAGTGCAGTCATTTCATCAGCAAAAGCTCAGCTGCAAATACAGCAAGCCAGGATCACACCTGTTCCTGGGCACAGCGGGGAGGCGGCGTTTCAGAGACAGCCGTAATCGTTACACCGCCAAGGGCGGGATGTGATCAGTAGAGAGTGACCCCATTCCAGGATCACTCAGAGACCAGGGACTGCCCCAGGCACAGTGGGGGTTGGAGCACGGCAGGGAGACGGGCAGGACTCATTTCCGAGGGCAGGGGGGCTCTGGGGGATCAGCCAGGCAGGGAGCTGGGCACGCTGCGGAGGAGGAAATCCCTGCGCGCTCTGTTGTCCGGGTTCCTGTCCCAGGCGTGGCTCTGCCAGCCTGTTGCCTGGGGGAGAACCTGGTAGCGACCCTCTTACAGCCCGTCTGGAGCAGAGACCTGTGGGTTGTGCTGTGTTCGCTCTGTCTCAGGGGTCTGCGCTGAGCAGACACCAGGCTCAGGGCGTCACTGGGGCCCAGTGTACAGGGAAGCACGGAGGGAGAATTGAGTGGGTCCCATTGGTTGGCAGGTTAGGTGTCCCCTCTGCACTGCAGCCTCCTGAGCTGGCAAACTGCCCACCCTGCACAGAGCGATGTCTGGGGAAATGGGGGGGGTTCCCCTTAACATTCTCACGGGGCAGCGGCGACTCTGAAGCGACAGCTGTGGGGGAGGGTGTGTCGCCCCGATTCAGGCACCTTTAACTATGGAACAGCAGCAAAGCTCCAGAGTTTGGGTGCTGGGCCTGGGGCAGCAAGATGGGAGGAGGGCAGCCAGGCACGGGGAGGGGCCAAGGGGAAGCGGGACGTGGCCAGGGGGAGTCCGGGACGGGGCCGGAGGGTAGAGCTCAGTTCCTAATTTAAACATTGTTTGTAGCCGACAGGAGCGGGGAATTGAGGATGACACCAGGGGATGGTCTTGGGTCCTGCTGGGTTTTACATGCGGCGAGGGGCGTGAGAGACTAACCTAGAGCCGGGGGGTGGGATGAAGGGAGACCATGGCGTTCCTGCCAGGCCGGACTGCCAGCCTCCCGCTAGGCATAATCGGAGAATTTGGGGAAGGGGTTGTGGATGTTGCAGAAGTCCTCGTCTGTGCAGCACTGGGTGGTGTCCTTGTAGTAGTCGTCAGTGATCTCCGTATCCTTGCAGATGGACGTGCAGCCCCGCTCCACACGCCTGATAAAGCCCGCTGCAGAGGGAAAGAGAGTCCAGAGCCAGGTGCCAGGGACAGGCCCCTCCTGCCAGCTGAGCTGCCCGCCCCTCTGTCCAGGGCTCCTCTGTCTCCCCTTGCCACTTCCTTCGCACTGCTCCCGGGGAGGACACTTGCTGGCCCCTCTCTCTGTCCTCAGAGGACACCCGCCCCAGCGTCACAGGGTCTGTCTACAGGGCAGTCAGAGCCGTGACTGAAGCCCTGTAGACAGGCCGGAGCCAGCTCCGGTGACAACAGCAGGGCAACCACGGCAGCACTGGGCAGACGAGCCCACCCGGGCCTCTGGGTGCATCCGCCAGCAGCTAGCTGTGCGGTCACCCCTGATGCCCCAGCCTCCCGGCTCGTGTTCGCCACGCGAGCTGGGCCACCCCTAGCTCTGGCCGTCCCCGTACTCACCGGCCTTGATTTAGGGACGAATGTGGCGGCCACGGAGCGAGCAGCAGCACATCTCAGAGCCAGGTGGACAGACTCGGGCTCGTAGGGCTTGCACTGTGGCCCTAAAAACAGCCGTGTAGCTGCTCCGTAGCAGGGCTGTGAGGCCCTCCCCAGCTTCCCTCCTCAGTACTGCGGCCAGCTTGGCCACAAGGGGTCACTCTAGAGCAGGGGTGGGCAAACTTTTTGGCCCGAGGGCCACATCGGGGTTGTGAAACGGTATGGAGGCCCGGGTAGGGAAGGCTGGGCCTCCCCAAACAGCCTGGCCCCTGCCCCCTATCAGCCCCCTTGCACTTCCCGCCCCCTGGCTGCCCCCCTCAGGACCCCCAACCCATCCAACCCCCCTGCTCCTTGTCCCCTGACAGCCCCCTTCTGGGACCCCCACCCCTAACCGCCCCCCCCGGACCCCACCCCCTATCCAACCCCCCCGCTCCCTGTCTCCTGACTCCCCCGATGCCTATGCACACCCCCACCCCTGACAGGCCCCCCGGGACCCCCGACACATCCCTCCCTCCCCCACTCCTTGTCCCCTGACCGCCCCCTCCCAGGACCCCTGTCCTGGGAGTGCCCCCCAGGACTCCACCCCCATCCAACCCCCCGCTCCCTGTCTCCTGACTGCCCCCCATCCAACCTCCCCCTCCTCCCGCCCCCTTACCAGGCCGCTCAGAGCAGCAGGACAGGCTTAGTGGAAAGCCTGGGAGGTGGGCGGGCACAAGCCGCACTGCCCGCGCGGTGACGTGGCTGCAGGGGAGGGGGCATAGCAGGGGAGGGGATGGGGACTAGACTCCCCAGCCGGCAGCTCAGGGGCTGGACAGGATGGTCCCGTGGGCCAGATGTCGCCTGCAGGCCGTAGTTTGCCCACCTCTGGTCTAGAGTAAGGTGTTCTGCCCTCACACCCCGGCAGCTCCTAAATGGCATTTCGAGGGGCCCTTGGCTGCCCAGACTCACCTATAGTGATTTTCCGGGTAAAGCAGGATTCCCCCCGAGCCGCTGTGCAAGTGTGTTTGCCGAGCATACAGCTGCCGTCCTGTAACAGCATGAAACAGCTGTTGCACTGGAGAGCTGCAGCTGTGGGAGAGGACAGAGAAGGGAGAGTAGGAAACAAGCAGCCAGACCCAGACTGGTGACCGGACACAGACACCAAAACAGCTTCCCAGCCGCATGGAACCAGCCATTCCCCTCCCACATATTGATGTCCTGCTCTGGTTCATTTCATCCCTCCGTGGGCAGGTCACCGCTGGGCCAGCCTGACTTTTCAGGGGCGGCTCTGTCTCTCCGCCAGGGCACGGGCTGCCCTTTAGGTAGGATACTTGGTTGTAATTGAAATGCCCTCGCTAAAGAACATAGGCCAGACCTCAGCTGATTGGACTGGCACCAGCTGAAGCTCTGCCCTACCACGGGTGGAAATCTCTCCTCGTTGGGTTTTGTTTCGGGACTTACCTGTAACTAAGCAGAGCAGGGCTGGCAAACCCAGAGCCAGGATCTTGTTCATCTTTAGTTTTCTCTCTGCCAAGAGAAGGGGGCAACTGTGCGATTGTGTCAGGTACGTGAGGAGCTGAGCCAGGGCTGCAAACCTGGTGCACTGGCTCCCGGGGGAGGACAGAGATGGATTTATACCCCCGGGGACTGGGGTAATTGCTAATTACAATCTAATGGTCACTGTGCAGCCCAGAGCAGAACATTCCTTGCCCAGGTGAGTGGCTCTGGCAGGTGACTCCCCAGCCCTGCCTCCCCACAGGGACGTTTTGCCAAAGGTGCAAGTGGGAGGAAAAGTGGCAAAATGCCACAGCAGCTGGGAATGAGGGGTGAGACCTGTTCCTGTGTCACTGTGGAGCTGTCGGTTGGCCTGTTGGGTTCTATTTTATTAAGAAAAAAAATCAGATCAGTTATTACAATGATAAAAGTATGTACTGGGGTGAAAAGCATGCACATGTCACAAATAACCAGCTCTTTTCCAGGCAGCTGCTTACAGGTAAGTGAGAAGATGCAACTGGTGAAGGACACAGAAACTTTATGAGCTTGAGATGGTACAGACAAATATACCTGAAGTAATAGAAAAATCAATGTACATAAGTAAGGTGGTTCCTGCTTTGTTCAAACTTACAGTATTTCATTGTGTGGACTTATAACCTCATGGACCATTGGAAACAAAGTGTAAGTGGAGCTCACCCTAGGAGAAGGGCACAGGGCCAGGCTTTCCATCCATTGTATAAGGCCCCAGAACCCAGGTCCATAGAGCTAATAGGTAGGTAGCAGCTCCAGCCTGCCACCCAGTAGTCACTGTGACCAGTTTGCTCTCTACTTCCCATGATCTGCTACGGACGCAGATCAATGGAAAGTTCCACCTCAAGGCATTTGACAGGCAGCAGCCTCAAGGCTTCTGATTGGCTGTCTACTCTATATAAACCCAAGGGGCGGTCCTGCAGGTGCCATGATGGTTCCTGCTCTTTGCTCCTGAAGTTCAGGCTTTGACCTCGGTTTGATTTGGATTCTGCCTCCTGACTTGGACTGATCCTGGCTGTGAACTCCTCTGCTACTTCCAACCTCAGGTTTGCCCCTGCTCTGATCTTTGGCCCTGACTGCCCTTGTAGGGATCCTGACAGGCTGTCTCATGTCATCCCCTGGTGCCCCAACAGCAGGCTGGATAATCACATTTTCCTATTTTACCCTCTCATGTCTGGGTCCATCTTTGATAAGGATTCAACCTGGTAGTACCACAGTTAAACTTCCAACCACCGATGCAAGCACTTGCATCAGTTAATGTCCCCATAGTTTTGATATGTCAGTGCAGACAGCTCCATTGTTAACTCATTGCAAAAGTACGCATCTGCTTGTTTGTGGTTTACGCATATATCACAAAATGCATTGCTGACCTATCACAAGATGCATATTGCTAAACTTCATAATCTTCGCTTAAGCACATAACACTTATTCCAATGAGACCTCACTCTAAGCCCTTAGTGCTTAAACCGAAGCCAATTTTTAATATGTGCGTTTTGGTTCTTCTACTGGCTGTTACAGGTGCAATAATAACCTTCATTGTTATTTCTATATGCATACTTAACAAATAGATTGTGTTTTACTCAAAACCAAGATCAGGTCAGGGTCAATGATCAACAGATGCAATTCTGTGAAGCAAATAACTATATTCCCAAACGTGCCGCCTGCCCATCCAGCCATCCGCACGCACAGAGCCATGGCCAGTAGAAGAGAGACCTTTATCATAGAAGATTAGGGTTGGAAGAGACCTCAGGAGGTCATCTAGTCCAACCCCCTGCTCAAAGCAGGACCAACACCCACCAAATCATCCCAGCCAGGGCTTTGTCAAGATGGGCCTTAAAAACCTCTAAGGATGGAGGTTCCACCACCTCCCTAGATAACCCATTCCAGTGCTTCACCACCCTCCTAGTGAAATAGTCTTTCCTAATATCCAACCTAGACCTCCCCCACTGCCACTGGAGACCATTACTCCTTGTCCTGTCATCTGCCACCACTGAGAACAGCTTAGCTCCATCCTCTTTGGAACCCCCCTTCAGGTATCAAATCCCCCCTCAACTCTTCTCTTCTGCAGACTAAACAAGCCCAGTTCCCTCGGCCTTCCTTGTAAGGCATGTGCCCCAGACCCCTGATCATCCACCCTCCGGCCAACTCATCTCTCCACAAGGTTATCCTGGCATCCTCCTTTTGGGGGTTAGGAGGAAAGAAGTTGCAGCACATAAACATTACCGATGGAAGCAGAGAAGAACCAGATAGGGGAATCCTAACTCCATGCCCCAAGGGGTCTCCTAAACGGAGGATGCCAGGATAACCCTGTGGAGAGATGAGTTGGCCAGAGTGCAGTGTGCAGCTAAAGATGGAGAACAAGGGTCTGGCCATTGCAAGCTCCAGTTGGCACCTGATGATGGAATGGGGAGAGCGCAAGGGTGGCTGCCGGTGCCCAAGAGCAGCCAGCCACCCTTGAGGACTGGGGAGCTCTGCACAATGGATCCACCCCTGGGCTCCAAGGCCAGGGATGGGCTGGTGGGTGTGAGCCCTAGTCCGAATAGCCTACATAGATAATCAGCTCAACATGAGCTCCCAGTGTGATGCTGTGGCCAGAAGAGCTAATGCAATCCTGGGATGCATAAACAGGAGACCCTTGAGTGGGAGTAGAGGTTATTCTACCTCTGTAATTGGCACTGGTGCACCACTGCTGGAATCCTGTATCCAATTCTGGTGCCCACTACTCAAGAGGGATGTTGATGAGTTGGCGAGGGTTTAGCGAAGAGCCATGAGAATGGTCAAAGGAAACATGCCTTATAGTGGTTGACTGAGCTCCTTGAGTCAATTTAGCTTACCAAAGAGAAGCTTAAGGGGTGACTTAAGTACAGTCGATAAGTGTCTACATGGGGAACAGTTGTTTAACAATGGGCTCTTCAGTCTAGCAGGGAGAGGTATAATACAATCCAGTGGCTGGGAGTTGAAGCTAGACAAATTCAGACTGGAAATAAGGTGTACATTTTTAATGGTGAGAGGAATTAACTGTTGGAAGAATTTACCAAGGCTCAGGGTAAATTCTTCATAACTAACAAGTTTTGAATCCAGATTGGAAATGTTTCTGGAAGCTCTGCTCTAGGCATTATTTCGGGGCAGATCTCTGGCCTGTTCTACAGGAGGTCAGACTGGATGATCGCAGTGGTCCCTTCTGGCCTTGGAATCGATGAACTCCTGCCCCAGTTGCTTGTGGCCCACTCTCCTGCTGCAGGTGGCGGAGAGCCAGCTCAGGGCTGGGAAACAGCCCCAGAGCCAGCACTGGGCTGCAAATGAGGATCAGCCAGAGCCTGGAGGGAAGGAAGGAAGCTCCTGATTGGTTTCCGAGGGGTTGAATGGGGCGGATGAGTGGTGCCCTTTGTATTTCACATGGGGGTTGGGGAGGAGGAAAGGGGCAGCAGAGGGTTGTATGCTGCTGTGGCTGTGAAAGAGAGCAGGGCGCAGAACAGCCTGAACTCAACTCGGGGACCAGACCCAGGGGCAGCCGAGACCCAGCAGAGAAGTCTGGGCCAGCATCAGGACCGTAGCAGAGACCTGGAACCAGAGCTCTGAGCTTGCGTAGAGAGACTGTGGCCAAGTGCTTTAGACTCTGGCTCCATCTGTCGCTGATGAAGGGGACTGTTGCTGATAGAGCTGAGTGTTTGTATGGATAACAGCAGTGGGAGGGGTCTGCACCCCAAAGCAAGGCTGGAACCTACTGCTGGCAAGGGCATCCTCCACTGTACTCCTGAAGGATCCAGCTGAGTGATGTGTGGTCTATGGCCATACCACCTCGTGCTGTTAGCTCTTGCAGGCCAGGCAGGATGGGGCTGGATGCTCCAAGGAATGCTTAGCTGCTGCAAGTGGGGGTGATGCAGAAGGTACTGCTGTTTCTACTGGACCTGTCCCTTGACACGAGGGGCTAGCAGTGGACCCATAGTTCCAGCTTTGCCTGGTGAGTGGACTTAAAGGGTTGACTGGTCGACTCCTTTGTTTCTCCCAGGAAATGAACAGCAGGTCAGAGTGGGAGCTGGTTAATGCTGAAGCTAGCTCTCAATTCAGAGATTGGGGATGAGCAATGGCTAGTAAGGACCCGACAACTTATAATGAAATGTGAGTCTAGCTTGTCGTTTCTCATTTGCTGGAGTTGAATGATTACAGGGGAATCTCGCTTTTTTTTAAAAACCAAAACTCAAAAAATGAAAGGCGAGTTTATAGCCCTTGTGGTTGCGGAGAAAAGCTTGAAAGTAAACCTGAGTGTAATGTACTGGGTCAGAAACAAATAGGCAGAATAATGGAATGGCTGATATGGGACTTGATGCAGAAAGAATTCAATGACCATCAACATGGATTTATGGAAAATAGATCTTGACCTTTTTTGATGTTAGAGTGGATTTATAAAAGCAATCGTGTTGATGTAATAGA